CAACCTTACCGCGCGGTTTGCCCAGGCAGAGGCGGAGGCGGGAGCAGGCGGGTGGGGCGAATCTAAAAATAGCGTCGAGCCGGACACTCTCCGCGTAAAGGGGTACACGCACCGCGGAGTGTGAGCATCCTGGGTTCCAGCAGGGTACCGCGTAAACGTGGAAACGCGGAATGTGGGACCGCGTAAAGTGAGGGTCGACTGTATATTAAATGCGTCCTCCGAAAGTGTGAATTTGCTACTAGGGTTTAACAGTTAATTCATGAATAATACTTCTGATAAACTTCCTACGTGCTTATGTTTGAAATAATGAATGTATGTATGTATCTTTATATAATTTAGCTAAATATCTTTCTCGTCAGAAACGGTCATCCCAGCGATTATGAATAAACTCATTTAGAAATACATCATTACTTCAGGACAAAATCGGACAGGTTTGCAACAGCCAATCAGCTGTAACTCTTGAGGAGGAGGCAGGGCATCTTTTCTCAGCTGAGAAAAAATGCACTTCTCACAATGGCCAACTTAAGGTGGAAGAAGCCACAAGTTTAGAAAACTCTCAGAGCAAACTTTTTTGTCTGATAACCCTAAATCTAGTACCTTACTGTATGTACTTAGAAATGTTTAAATTTTGGATGGGGTAAATAACAGAAAATTACCATTGTTTTTGTGTTTTTTTTCCTGGGGGAAGGTGTTCCTCATATTTCATAAACTCTCATACAGTAATTCATAAGGGCTAGAGCCCCTATTTTTTCGAGTTATGGGGGTTATACTCTACAGGTATTCACAATCTGTTTACATTGTCTAAATTGTTATGCATGTTATAAGAAATAAAACCTACTGATTACTCAAGTTTCTTATGGGAAAAATTTATCCACTTAACGTTGTTTCACATAACGTTGTGGTTTACAAGAATGTAACCACGATGTTAACAGAGGACTTACTGCAACTACACTTTACCCCCTTGTTGATTACTACCTGCTTTGAGGTAAATTATTGATGAGGACTTTATATTTTTGTTGGACAGTAATTTTGAACACAACTTCTAAGCCAAATCTGTGCTAAAAAAAAGTTTTGTGGAAAATACAGGTATCAACAATAACTGAAAATAAAGGAGGGGGTCTGAAATTGACTTTTAAGTACCTTTCAGATCCATATACTTTACTCACCAAAGACATCATTGGAAAGAGCCCAACTAAACTTGAGATAATTTTGGCAAATTTTCAGTAAATTCTATTAAAATATATGGCACTACAGTTACCTCAGGTACTGTATTTCTTAATGCAGTCTTAAAATGATTGTAATACTGAAAGACACTTGGTTATCTTGAGTTATACAAGTGTCTTCTTCATTTTTGTTTTAAGAATAGGTTATCACATTAATGGAGCAATAAATCAAGAGAATGATAATCACATTAAACTGATTAAAAATACCTGTTACATACATATACAGTATACAGTACTGTATATGATGTGGTAAACTGTAGTTTCAGGCCACCTTCCCTTGAGGACTAAAGACTGCTCAGTGATCCATGAAGAAAACAAAAATGGTGATCTATGTCACTGATTGGCTCGTTAGAAGAGCATGAGTCGACATCTTGGGTTTAAGTAAATAGCCGTTCAAAGAAAGACTTTCGTTTCCCTCACTGACACATAAATATTCACAAATAAAAAGGAATACATCAAAATAATATGCATATTGTACTTCAAAATAAAGCAAGATACTCACAGATGCTGACGCCAACAGTATAGCAGGAGGTACTCGGGCAGAAGATCCAGCCAGTGCCCTCTTTGCCAGGGGTGTGACTGTAGCAGAACCATCCCATGGCTGTTGGCATGACATTAAAACAATACATTTAGTAGGACTATTTACATACTCCATGATCAATGGCATGATGATAACATCCCATTTTGTCTACTCCCATTATTTCTACCCAGAATGGTTACTGCTTGCATTTTGTCTACTCTTTTGATATTTCTATTCTGTAAACAGAACAATAATCAACTATACTGTATAAAGGAGAAAATAACACCCAGTATTTTGTTCTGTTAGGTTAGGTCAAGAGATCACTTGATAATCTTCAGAGAGCTAATAACTGTATGTAACATTTTCAGAACAGACAGGTATAAAAAAAGAAACGGGAATAAACCTACATGAAATACTATAAATGTCAATTTCTCAACTGAGAATACACACTTTCTATCTTAAAAGTTTCATGGCTGTCAGCAGGAATGAACATATGCTACTGATAAAAGTAAAAGTATGGAGTAACATTGTTCAGGAATCATCGTAGTCATTCTGTGTTGCACCTTTTCTTGGGATATTAATTCTCCCTGGAGGTAAGGTGTCCATACCTGTACAGTATCCTGTATAGTAATTCAGCTGGGGAGTACAGTACAATATGCTTGTAAAGATCAAGGAGGATTTTCCTATTGTATTTGAAGATATGATTTATAATTCCTAAATCACAGTTGGCTTTTTTCACTGCTGCTCTCACTTGTTATGCTACCTTCAATGATTGATCTCCCATGATACCTAAATCTTTTTCCTTATCAATATTATCTAAGAAAATATTTTCAACAGAATACTTGTGATTAGGGTTGTTGTAAACTATTAGTATTGGATAGTGTACCAGTAAGTGAAATGTAGTGTTTGTTACACCTTTTTAATTTTAGTGTAACTGATTTGTCTCCCCAGCCTAACCAAAGTACCCTAATGGAAATAAGCTAATTGAGGCTTCCTTGGGTTATCCTTGGTCTGTACTAACACCAACTCTTTTTAATATATAGTTATAATCTTTTTAAGTAACAAACAACTTTATTCACTCCTTCACTCTGACTTCTTCAGCCACACAAATATAAAATATGAATGCCAGACAACAGACATCCTCATCTCTACAGGAAGAACTTGTATGCATTTACATCTCTACAGGAAGAACTCATATGTATTGCTGAGTTGGGTGCATTCAATTTGAGTTCCTTCATTGCTATTAAAATAAAATGCACAATACAGGTACTGTACAGGCAGACCTCTTACAACAGACATATTCTGTTAAAAAGGGTTCATTATAACAAGTTGCTTATAGAGATGTGTTCCTGGCAGTGTCAATTCTTACCCAATAAATGTACACTATGGATTCCTTGCATAATGAAAATGGCTCTTCAGATGTATTTTTTTTAATTTAATAAAATAAAGATATTAACATAAATAACATAAGAAACCAAATTTAACTAACAATCACTAAATAATTTTGTCAAGAGTATTGTTTTAAAAGTCTTCTTGGCAGTTATGCTATTCAACCTTGTTGGTAACCTTACTCATCCAGTGTTGTCTCCTCAAAAAGTTTTCTTTTTTTTCCTCGGCAGTTGCTGGTATCACTACGTGCTATTTTTTAAGTATATAATTCCTCACTGCACTTTTGGTTTACCTATGAATGGTGGATCACAGTCATTTAAAATCTTTTCTTTATACTCTGCCAGTGTGCCACCGGGAATGTTTTTTCGTTACAGTATACCTGAGCACTCCTATTCCTCGGGCAGATCCAGGAATAACAAAAGGGGTGGGGTGGGGGTGATCCAAGAAGTTGTGGGTGGGGTTACATGGCGAGCACAGTGAATCCACCTAGCAGGGGGTAGGGGGGGTGTTATAGACACCCCCCCCCTACCCCCGACATTCGTTTTTAAATCTGACCTACATCATGGGCATTTTGAGGCCATTTTAAACCATGCGCACTTGATATTAGGAGATATTCTGAAGTCAATAGTAAATACTTTTTATTATACAAAAATGCCTGGTGAAAAGGGGGGTCTGGACCCCCCCCCAAAAAAAAAAATCCACCCTTGTACCTGTGTTGTTTCTGACAAGGGCTTACTGTCATTCCACTTTATTTATTTTCAGGTTTTCTCAGCAGTCACTGATATCAATATGGACTGTATCTCTGATCATTATATGCACAGTGAATCAAAGTCATAGACACAGCTAATTTAAATCTTCTACGTATTTATATACTGTAGTGACATGTGACACTATTTTTTTTTTTTATTCAAATCAGAATGTTCACTCCTGAAGAAAAAAAATTTATCTTCAGTCTCGAATAACAACAAAAGTACTCTAATGTATTACAAAAAATAAAAAATTTACACCTTAATTTCACCGGAATAACCTTGATGACTTATAAATTCACAGCCCAAATTCTGTCACTTGACAAATAAATGCCCAGATACCAACACACTTTAACACAGACATGACCTGACATGCCTGACCACAATGCCTTCTTTATTAGTTTGCATTGTAATATAAATCTTGTGTTACATTAAATATCAGCTTAAAAATGTTTTAGGTGTCATTATTAGTAACTTTTTTCATACAGGTCTCCCCAATTACATCATGGAAGTCAATGGAAAAACACATTTGATTTATGAAAGAAACCCTTTCATAAATTGAGAGATCCTGTATGTACTCGTAACAAACCTACTGTACCACATTCTTTGATATCATAAATAGTGGAGTTCTATTCCCCGCTAAATTTTTTCCTAAACCTGTGCATACTTATGGATCTCTATACTGTTGCAAACTAACCCTCTACATTAATAACACTCATTCTGTGTGTATTACTGCACACATTCCAGGCACTCTTTCACCACTCTGTACAGAATAAATTTTTATCTGATTCTCTAAACTTTAAACAATTACATTTTGCATTCTAAGATCTCTCCACTTATTCGGTCTATTTTCACTATAAAATTTTTCTATGCATCAAATTCCTGATTTCCACTTCAGATTCTCTTACGAAGCATCAGCTTTTTAACACTCTTCTCATACATCATTCCATTTCACACAACTGAGTCCGTGCCTCAACTTTGTCTACTATCTCAGCTTTGTTTTAAATTTTCCCAACAAGTCCATTTTATATATTCTACACATATGCTTACTCATTCATTATTTATCATTATTTATCTAACTCGCCTTCTACAGTAACTTGTGTCGCTTATCAAAAGAGTTTACTGCCTTACACCCATTGTGTCTAATGCTCTCCACTTGGGTCAAGAATTCAGTTAACAGTGACATGGTCCCACTCAAGCGTTGCCCTTATATATAATGCCTCTTGGAGTACCCAGGGAATATTTTCTAGGTACCACCCTTAAAGCTTGCTAAATAAATTAAATGTCTATATGATGATTTCTGAATAATTGTCTATCTATTAAAAGAAGTGACATTCAAGTGTGGCCCTTGCTAACATATACCTGTAATCTCCCTTTCCCAGACACACATACACACTGGCATTATGAAAGGGATGAGAAGAAATTTTCCATAAACCTTAACCATTCATGGTAATCATTGAGAAGAGGCCAGAGTATTCTTTCTTTTTACCTATGTTTTGAGTACAGTGATCCCTCGGTTAACGAGCGCCTCGGTTAACGAGATTTCGGTTCACTAGTTACCTCCCATAAGATTCTTAACTTCGGTTAACGAGCAATCCCTCGGTTAACGAGTTTCTTACGAGCCGACCTCAACAAGTTTTTGCTTGCACTTGGCGGTCCACCAGCTGTAGTATTAGTCCGCCAATACAGTAATCGGTTCTAGGGCTTAAATTCCTTACCATTTTAGCAAATATCAAGTTTATACTATTCAATAATTTTAAAAGTTTAATATTAAATTTTTTAGTCATTTTAACAATTATTGAACATAACTGAAGGTAGTGAAACTAGTTTTATGCGCGCCATCCAGCCTCTCAACACACCATACAGGCGTCAGTCTTTGTGTCTTTTCAGTGGAGGTAACATCTTGCTTGAGACTCTCTTCAACTAAATGCTTTTTTCTGTGTTTATAAGCAAATTATTGGTCATTTTGAAATTTATTTTACATATTGACAATATATAATGCAGTGCAGTGTTGATTTAAAGAATATAATCTTGAATTACACCAAGAGAACTACAATTTTATGGGTGAAATGGCACCACCCCAATGCCTTCTCTTCTCCCTTCTCCTCCACCCCCATTCTAATTCCCATCATCATCATCCAGGAGCCTTCTACATACACACCTCAAAGTAAGTGTACTTTTCTACATTTTTTTTTGAATTTAGGCAATTTTCGGTGAGCTGGAACCAATTACAGTGAGTTCTGCTATAACGCGTGTTTTGACAACGCGAATTGGCTCTTACGCGATTTATGAATAGAGGAACGATATTTGTATAACGCGAACACTTGTTTGCTGTAACGCGGTTTTTGCTTACTATTTCTCCAATTTTGTGGTATTAACTGTGAACATGGTAAAGAAGAATATCTCCAAGAAGCGTTCTGGTGATCGCATTCCCAGTGATGATCGTAAAAGAAAGGCTATAACACTTGAAGAGAAGCTCAATGTTATCTACCTCAAAATCACCCTTCTCCCCCATCAAGTTATATTCATATTTTTCAAGGTAAAGTGTTGCATTTACTGTATGATTTCATTATTAGATATGAATGTAACATTTATTTAGACTGTGCTGTCCTTTGTGTTAGGCTAACTACTAAATTTTTTTTCGATTTCGAGTAGTAATCTGCACCTAACCCTATTTTCTCCATAAGCCCTGTTATTTCTATTACGCGAATTTCTATAACACGATGTTTTACAAGAACACAACTATCGCGTTATAGCAGAACTGACTGTACCCAAAAACTCATTGAAACAATGGTTTCGGTTAACAAGTTTTTCGGTTAACGAGCAACTTTCTAGAACGGATTGTGCTCGTTAACCGAGGGACCACTGTATTTTTTTTTTCACCCATGGTGGAAAGTGGAAAATGGCCATGCACTGTCTGTAAGAAAGGTGTGCCAACAGCCCAGTAATGTGCAATGCATATGGAAGGTGGGTAAACAAGAGGTGCAGTGGAGTAGATGGCAGACTTTAAGAGTTGAAGAAGCTATCAGTACAGAAAACTGTCAGGAGCTTATTTCTTTTGAGTAAGGGCTGCAAACTCTTGGAAAATCCTGCCAGAGAACGTTGATAGCACCAAGTGTGAACTCTTATAATTATATTCTTGGCCAACACAAGTAAATTCAAGAGCTGTACATGCCACTACAGAGTGCAAAACAGAAATCAGTACGACTGCCTGATTGGCTAGTAAGCTAATATGTGGTAAAAATTATGTTAATAAATGTTATGTACAATTGCCCTGTTAGTGGTAACTGAAGGCTGTTATAATTGTGTGGACATCCTCAAGGATCTTGCACCCATGTTTGAAATCCTTGGCTCACCTTATTATGCCAGCATATGAGGGAACATTTGTGCCATACACTACCACAATAACAATGGGTCACTGAATTTTCTTTCCAATGTATAATCCTCTTTTGTAAAGAATTTTATGACACAAACTCAGTTCAGCCCAAATCCAAACTCTATTATTTTCTTGCCATACAGTACTTTAATCTCTCACACTAAAACAATAAATTGTACAATACAGTACAGTAGTTAACTTCAGTGAAACAAACGCCCAAGCATTCAACTTTATCGACAGCAAAATTAAAATCATGCTGTATTGCTCTTTTCAATTGGTAAATTACTAAACCTTTCGACTACCCCTTTTTGTGTGTGTGTGTGTGTGTGTGTATATGAAATACTGTACCTGTATATATAAGGCAGACTCCGAGTTACAACTGTCATACTTATAAACACACGCACTTATGAATGGGATCCCAATACATTCATCGCAAAAATTTATAATTAAAATCCCATTTTTACATTATTTTCAATATTACATATTGTTAAGCATCACTTTATTTTCAGTAGTGTATTTACATTGTTTTTATATACAGCTAGACCCCGACTTACGACGGGGTTAGGGACCCAAATCCAGGTCGTAAGTCCGAATGGTCGTAAGTCCGACATAGATAAAAAAAAAAAATAATAATAAAAAATCTACAATGAAATACAGTACAGTAAAAGTAATAAATAATGAGGAATGGATACAGTGTGACTGAGCACTTACCTTTAATGTAGTCAGCTGAATGCACATGGGGCCCCCATAATTTTCTAATTATACATGGAGACTACATTAACTGGAAACGTTTCGGTATAGAAAATGCGTGTCATTAAAAAAAAAAAATGGTCACAACTGCGGCGGTCGTAAGTCGAAGCAGTCGTAAGTCGGGGTCTAGCTGCATAGGATATTATTATTGTTTTGTATGGGCAGGGTTGTGCTTTAACCTAACCTAAACTATGGAATTAACACTGTTCTGACTTACAAATAAATCGACTTTTGATCAGGGTTCAGGAACATATACTGTACCTGTTGTAATTCAGGAACTGCCTGTAAATACAGTACAGTACAAACACACAAAGTGATTATATGCCACTTTGCTTTGGAAAAACCACAACCATCTGATTTGTTTACATACAGAGGCCAGAGACTCCTTACATGGGTGGAAGAGGAGGAAAGAGAGCTTGTTAAAGAAGTGGGTGAGGAGAGGATGAGCACTCACCGCCATTTACGGTCGCCACCAGCAATAACACACCAAGGATGGACCTTGCGATGTTCCTGCCAGTAAGAGAGACATCATAAACTTTCCTGTTTTAATGAGGAAGAAATAGAATCAACTATAATACTGAACAGAATTGAGCATCAAATTTGAAATATTTTGGAGAGATATAAAAAGTGAGTATCAATAATCGTATCTTACATAGGAAGTATACCAACACTTTTATCTAAAGAAAAAATGCATAAACAGTAATATACAAAAAGAAGGGAAATGAGTATGAGCAATATTTTAAACAGATGGATAAATTGTCAACAGTCTTATCTGCTAAAATGAATATCAAGTCTTGCTTTCCATATACAGTAACATGATTCTAATATAAAGTAATATTTTATTATATAACCCACAATGTAGAGATGAGAATCACTTTTAGCTGGAGTTATGTCAATCTTTTTCAATATCACTGAATCACATACTGTAAGTGTAGTAGCTACATCACTGTGAATAGTGTACCCGGGCAGGGTGAAACTATGGGCAAGTTTCTTTATGCCATTTGCCTGTGTCTACCCAGCAGTAATTGAACCTGGATGTTAATCAATTTAAGGATCGTGTTCCGGGGTAATGGTTAGCCAGTGCAGTTGGCGAGTTGTCCGGTCTTCTCATTATACGAGGGGCAACCATTTAAGTATTAAATCCCATTTGGTGTAGCCCTCACTTTGTGTGACTCACTGTGTGGCCCTCAGCTTGTATGATTCTCACTCTGCATGGCCCTTACCATGTGTTGCCCTCACCTTGTGCAATTCTCACTGTGTGGCCATCACCTTGTGTGATTCTCACTATATGACCCTCACTTTGTGTGACTGTGTGGCCCTCATTTTGTGTGATTCTCACTCTGTGTAGCCCTCACTTTGTGTGACTCACTATGTGTGACCCTCACCTTGTGTGGCTCTAACCTTGTGTGACTCACTCTGTGTGGTTCTCTCCTTATGTGATTCTCACAATGTGGCTCACTCTGTGTGGTCCTCACCTTGTGTGATTCTCACTCTGTGTGGCCCTCACTTTGTGTGATTCTCACTATGTGGCCCTCACTTTGTGTGATTCTCACTCTGTGTGGCCCTCATTTTGTGTACTCACTCTGTGTGGCCTACACCTTGTGACTATGACATAAGTACAGGTACTCCTCGACTTATGACCTACTCGCCTTACGACCACCCGGACATACGACTGCCTCGGTCGTACCAAAAAATTTTCAAATTACGTATTTTCGAGTCCCGACATTAGTGATTGCGCTGTGTACTGACAAAATTTTTGTTTGTAATTCCCTTTAAAATGACTGGCAAGCTTAAAAGTGAGAGTTTTGTGGTGCTGAGAAGAAAAAGAAACACCTTTTTAGATTTTCTATGTATTATTTTCGCATTTTCGACTTATGACCTGGATTTGGGTCTCTAACCCCGTCGTAAGTCGGGGACTGCCTGTATTAATATATACTAGTTGAGCATTCATTGGAATTTTCTTAGATGATTGAAATAAAATCAATATCAAGCACAATACAGGTGTACAGTAGTAGTGCATTTGTCTCTCAACATTACCACCCTGGATCGATTTACACTTGGGTCTGATGTGATATAGGATGAACCTTATCGAACATAATTATATAGGTGCAAAGTTTTGCCAGTTACCCCATTTCCCATCTATACCAAATTACCCCACTTTCCATCTGTACCAAGTTACCCCACTTACTTTCTATACCAACACTGGACTCATGGAGATAAAGATGAGAATTAAGATCGAAATACTGTACAGAGCCATGACACCTTTGTCCTGTATACACAATATTATTAATTAAAAAAAAATTACATTATAAACACCTGGGTTATGCCTGTAAGAATTGCGACAATAATACAGTACTGTATTGTCTTCCTCTTCATTACCTTGCTCAGCTAAGCTGAGGTTGGTTATAGCACATTTCCCTTTCATTCATTGTTACGTTTAAATGCAAGAAAGTGGTTTTCTTACCGTAGAACTCAAATACCTTCACACTGATTACTCACCCAGGAGATTATGGTGTATCACTACGTAGAATTTCACTCTGCTTCCGGCATTCAATGATGATTTAATGAATTCCATTAATTTCCAACCTCCATCTAAGTTATTGGTTATACTTTGTCATAACCAATCAGTCATTACCTTTGGTAATAATAATAATAGAGAGGTCACAGATACGGGCAGATAATTGCACTTACGTTTATTTGGCACAATTCCATACACTGGACTTATAATTTGCATGGATAGGTCAGTCACTCACATTTGCGCCACAGTACCGTAAGTTATAAGGGAGAGTTTGTCAACCTGGAGAATTAATCGTTTAGATCTATTAGGCCGGCCTGGAGTGCTCTTGTAGCAAACAGGCCCTCAGCAGTGATCACTTCCTTTACAAGATGCGTTAACTTTTCGCTGGACTTAACAACAATCTCAGGGATTTGCACACCCAGACTCGTAGCACTGGTAGGACTGTATGGCCCCTGTTCTAAGTCGACGGAGCAGGAGGTCTTCTCTCGCCCAAGGTCTAAAGCCCACTGACTAAAATGTGGTTTTGAGGCTTGAAATGATGATCAGTACAATACTGTCTCACTGGCCTCCCCTTATCGGCTGGCCGGGTACCTTATCTCTACCTAAACAAACATTAGGGATGGGTTGTGCGGGTAGGCCCAACGCAACCCATGACAATCGCCCCTACTAAGAAAAAAATTTTCTTTGGAGAATAAATTTTTAGCACCTGTATACAATCAAGAGAATGCCTAGCCCAGACACACAATTTGACATTCACACTGTGGTGTGTGTGTGTGTGTAACACTAACACTGCAACGGAATGTAGTCGCCAATCGCCACTGAGGGAAAACCTCAACATTTACTTTAGTTTTTCTGGCTGGAGGAAAACTCCTCGGCGAGGGTGACAATTCCCGAGCAATAGTTCATGCTAAGCGTAAGCACGCTACATTTACATTACAGCAACGTGTTGTGTGGTGTAGGGTATGTAGACATTGTTTAGGTGGCACAGGTGTTGTGTTATGTTCTCAAGTGTAGAAAGGTGTGAGAAAAAAAAAAAATAACATATGACGAGCCGTCAGACACTTGGAGGTTCGAGTCGACTGGAGTCTAGACCAACTCCACACTCATTTGGGAAGGTGACCTCTCAATCAGTTGCTCTGGTTCCGCCACAAGTCGAGATATGAGGTCAGCCCCCACATTCAGGCTGCCCTTGATGTACTGGAGGACGAAGTTGAACTGCTGGAGATTCAGTGCCCACCGCATCAGACGAGCATTTGCATTCTTAGATGGTCGAAGATTGGTGAGCGGCATGTGGTCTGTCTCCAACACAAACTCACCTCCATAGAGATAGTAGTAGTACTTCTTGATGCCTTCCACCACTGCCAAAAGTTCCTTCTCAACCGTGCTGTAATTCCTCTCCGCAGGTTTCAACTTCCGACTGTGATATGCAACTGGAAAAACCTCGCCGTCTTCCTCTTGTAGTAGCACTGCGCCAACCCCATCCTGTGAAGCATCGGTCCGGAGGATGAAAGGCTCTTCCTTCCTCACCAGTTGAAGGATGGGTTGCTTGCATAGCAGGTTCTTGAGGGCAGTGAAAGAATCCTCTTGTTCGGGTCCCCATTGCACCTTGTTAGATGCATGTTTCTTGAGCAGGTCGGATAAAGGGAGAGCCACCACGGCAAAGTTTAGGATGAAGTTCCGGTAGTACCCTACGAGGCCCAAAAATGACCTCACTTGTTTTTTTGTAGTGGGCCGTGGTGCATCTTGGACCTTTTTGATCTTTTCATTCTGGCAGGTGCAGCGTCCTCCGCCGACAGTGTGCCCGAGGAACTGTACTGCGGCCTGACTGATCTCGCACTTGCTTGGTTTCACGGTCATGTTTTTTTGTTGGAACCTCCGGAACACCTCCTCTAAGAGTTCCAGGTGTTCCTCAAATGTTGCTGAATGGCTTAACACATCGTCCACAAATACCTCAACTCCTTTGATGCCGCTTAGGACTTGCCTCATGACACGGTCGAAGATGGCAGGGGAGTTTGTGAGACCAAAGGGAAGGACTCTGTACTGGTAGAGGCTGACTCTTTGGGTCCAGTGGGATTTGGAAGAACCCCTTGGTCAGATCAAGTTTGGTAAATAACTTGGAACCAGCTATTCTTGAAAAAATAGTTTTCTGATCACACATAGGTTCAGCATCCACCTGGGTAATGGCATTTACTCTCCTATAATCCCCACAGATCCTGACATCCCCCATCCTTTTTTCGGACGACTACCATAGGACTACTGTACAATATGGAGACGATGATTTCTCGATGATTCCTACTGCTTCCATTTCCTCAAATTCTTGTTTGACAGTGTCCAGTAGTCGCATAGGTATAGGATAGGGCTTTACCCGAACAGGTGTAGGGCTGGTCAGTTCAATAGTGTGACAGTCGACCCGGGCAAATCCTGGCTTATCAGAGAAGATGTCCTTTTAGCGATGCAACAGAGAGCCAATGGCATCTCGTTCCTCTGCTGATAGATTTCTATTCACCTAAACATCCGTGAAAGTCTCACTCTGGCGGGAGTGTGCAGTGACAGGCCCATCCTCCTCATCACTGGCAGAGATCACTGTGGCAGCACAAGTTACCCCTGAATCACACTGGGGAGGCTCGTCCCTGTCTTCCTCAGTGGAGACTGTACCCCTGATTGGTGACAGGAAGTACTTCTTCAGCATGTTGATTTGGAACTTCTTTCGTCGAGATCCCACCTGGACGATGTAAGTCAGATCCCAGACACGCTCTGCAATGTCGAATGGACCTTTCCACTGAGCCAGTAACTTATTGCGCATCGTAGGCAACAGAACCAGGCACTGGTCACCTGGCTGGAAACAAGGAAGCTTGGCCTTCTTGTCATAGTAAGTCTTCTGGACCTCTTGAGCCTTTATCAGCTCTTGCTTTGCCAGTTGACAGGTTTCTTGGAGACGATCAGCTAAGTCAATGACATATGTATAAGTGGTCTTGACTTCCGGATGTGGTTC